AGTGCGGCGTGGCATGGATGCTATCAGCCTGTGGCACTGCTGAGGTGTTATGGAAGACCAGGTCCAATAGCGTTGTTATTTTGTAGCGATGCTTCAAAATCTGCATTGTTTGGTCTCATGTCTTTCATCTTTCTCTTGGCAATGCCCCATAGATTCTCTATGGGGTTCAGGTCAGGCGAGTTTGCTGGCCAATCAAGCACAGTAATCCCATGGTCATTGAACCAGGTTTTGGTACTTTTGGCAGTGTGGGCAGGTGCCAAGTCCTGCTGGAAAATGAAGTCAGCATCTCCATAAAGCTCATCTGCTGAAAGAAGCATAAAGTGCTCTAAAATGTCCTGGTAGACTCTGGACTTAATAAAGCACAGCGAGAAACAGACCAGGTAAGACGCTTCTGACGTTGTTTGTTGTTCAGGAGCGGCTTGACAAGAGGAATACGACATTTGAAGCCCATGTCCAGGACCCGTCTGTGTGTGGTGGCTCTTGATGCAGTAACTCCAGCCTCAGTCCACTCCTTGTGAAGCTCCCCCACACATTTGAATGGCCTTTACCTGAAAATCCTCTCAGGCTACGGTCATCTCTGCTGCTTGTGCACCTTTTTCTTCCATACTCTTCCCTTCCACTTAACTTTCCATTAATGTGCCTTGATACAGCACTTTGCAAAAGAAGTTGGATGTTCTCAGTTACCTTTTTGAGGCTTTCCCTCCTTGTGGAGGGTGTCAGTGATGGTTTTCTGCACAACTGTCAGGTCAGCAGTCTTCCCCATGATTGTGAATTCCACTGAAACAGACAGAGACCAATTAAAGGCTCAAGAACCCTTTGCAGGTGTTTTGGATTAGTTAGCTGATTAGAGTGTGACACTTTGAGCCTACAATACTGAACCTTTTCACAATATTCTAATTTTCTGAGATTTTGAATTTGGGGTTTTCATAAGCTGTACGCAATAATAATCAAAATTATATCAATAAAGGCTTGAAATATCTCACTTTGCATGTAATGAGTCTATATAATATCAATATTTTTCAATAAATTGTATCAAAATGAGAAATTCCAGTATAGTCAAAGCCCTAGGGTGCAGTGTTTCCCACACATAGGCAGGCCGCCCAAGTAAAGCCTATCTAATACGTTATAAGATGTGGACACGGTGGATATTTTACAAGCACAATCCAGGTTAAACAACAGTGAACACACTGGTGCAGATGTCACTTGGTACCACTTTGGTTTTGTTTTGATAAGCTTCTTCATTAACAAGCCTCCCCCGCATGTAGTGCACCTGCAGCTGAAAACGCGGGTGGAAATTGCAAGTTCTGTATCATTTTGGCAACGGGGGTACACTAAAATAATGGTGGCGAATGATGTAGAATTAAAATGGTTCAAGAAGAAACAACCTAAACCACTAGAAATAGTAGCCTCCCTCCACGCCCGCCCGCCCGCCCAGGTAGTCATTCTGTGGAAAACACTGATATGTGTATGTGTGGTTGCTGCACAGGTGAAAGAGCACATGATTTGGTTTGGTGATTGTGCACATGGCTTTGATATGTGCTCAGTAATATGTTGAATGTGTCTGTGAATGCATTTGTTGTCAAGGTAATGATTCAAGTGGTTTGCACTAGTGAAGCTTCCCAGCCCTTTGATGTGTGTGTGTGTGTGTGTGTGTGTGTGTGTGTGTCTCTAATGATATGCAAAACAAAACACACCTGTTTTGTCTCAATTAAATTAACTGGGAGAATGGAAGTCACATAAACTAAAGGTACTAATGATCCATCAGTAAACAACAAATACTAGTCATGATTCTGTACCACTGACTTTGTGGTACCAGGCAGAGGGTAAACGATAAATGTTTTTGTCAGTTTTGGAATTGATATTTTAATAAATAAATTGGATAACCCAGACTGTCAAACGCAGCGTGTGGTCAGTTGTTTGCAGTGTTACCCATAAAAACTTAATAGAAATAATAATTGGAATTATGTCATTGCTATAGCCTTGAAACAATCTGATGGTGATTATTATAACTATTAATAGACAAATAATTGCATAAGTAGTTTTAAAGCAAGTTATAGAATAATTCTTAACCTTTTTGAACTCTGAAGACTTAAATCTCATTGACATACAACTGTCATTTAAGTTTTGACTGACATTAGGGTGAGTGGATAACCTGTTTTACTTAATTCATTTATTTCTAATTTGGGTAAAGTATTCATATTTGACATGCTAAACTGAATCGGTCTGAAGCAACCTCTAGTGCAGATTGTGTCATTATACAAAGAATTTGCAGTAGCATTCAGATATAGTCTAGAATAGCTAACTATTTAGTAAGAAGTTGTATGTGTGGTTTTTAGCTAATAACAACTATAATAGCTTATTATAATTAAGCTAGATTCTGTTTTTCACTTACTTACCAGCACAACTGTGTTTGCTAGTCTGCTGTTGTAGGCTGGGTTTGTGTGCATCACACACTAATCTGAGCCAATAATGTGTCAACTACAAACATACATGGAGGTTAAAGCTTTGTGATTTGCAGATATCAGAAGCTAAGTTAAAGTGCATATTCCAAGTATAAATTATACCCCAAATACTTTATTTACAATCATTATGAAGACTGCTTACTACGGCAGCTGCTTAGTGAAAACGGCACATTAGCAGCACAACAGGAAGAGCCTCAAACCGCTCTGAATGTAGTACTTGATCCGTTAAACCACAGCACTGCGAAGTGCAAGCTGTCATGTGGGCGTTGTAGACAGTGGTATTAGTTAAGACTGATGGATCTGTTCTGTGAGACACATGTGAGACTTATGTCTAAAAATGGCTGCCTATATGCTTCTATGTAGATGGGAATGACTTTGTTCAACTCATGTAATTGACTCTTCTTCACCAATTTACCTATCGCTATGTTCTGATTTTAGACCTAAAATCATAGGTTCACAGAAATATGAGATGGTGGGAAACCGGGCAGTTTTTTATTTAAAAAGAATTTAACATCAAACCTTAACTACGTGTACATTAAGAGACCGGAACCTTGAATATACCTACAACTTATTTGTAAGTAGCATTTATTGATATTTTCAGGAATTAAGTTAAGAGCACAATTTGAGAGGCTAAGAGACCATTAAGTAGTGTCACAATCAATAAAATTGTATAAGTTCATGTTCTCACATTATGTAACAAATTAACACAGGCTGGGTACAGAATTTCTTTCCCCCATTAAGCAGTCTGATAGTGCTGCTGTTCATTTAGCTAATGCAGGTGCATTTATGGACCGATAAGACATCCTCTCGACCACTCCGTGGAGTTTGTTAATGCTGTTAGTAGCCAGTTCTGGCTGGCCAAAGAAGCTTTTAAGCTTGCTCCTTCGTCTCTTTAAGCATAAACCAAAGCGGCTGTGCTATTTCTGGATATGATGAGCAATGATCACTGGTTGGATTATTTCTTTGGTCCTATTAAGTAAACTGTAAAGAAACACAAACACACTTCCAAAGTCTCTTACAATCTTGTTAAAAAATCTGTGGGACATTTGCAGGGTTTACATTTTCATACTCCCAAGATTTAGTTCTGTAATATGTTTTTGTTGGCTGAGAAGGCATACCCACTATACTTTTTAGTGGATGCCTGATTTATGTTCACAACCTAATTCAACAACTTGTGCAGTTGTAAGTAGGTTGTTTTTCTGTGACAGTGTTTGCATTTTTAAGTTATAATTTAAATATATTTCATAACTTAATATGTTTTTTTTTTTGTTTTTTTTTACCGCTTTATGAAAACCCTTTAGTCTCAGAGATTCATTGCCAGCTGAGTCTGATCCTTTTTATCCATGCAGAGCAACATGAACATATGCTTTATTTTGTCATTTAAATGTCAGACAGTTAAAGGTAAACTGACTAAAGGCTTAACATCAAGAAACAGAAGTTATCAGAGTTCACATGCCTGCAGATATGGAGTTATGTCTTGGTTAATTGATGGACATATTGCAAAACAACAATTTGGTTGCAGTGTTTGTACTATTTCTGCTTCTGTATCCTGCTTATTTTAATTTGTTAGTTGTGTGCAAATATTTTTAGATTTTACCCTGTAACATTCTTAATTTCCATAAGGACCAATACTTTACTTTAATTTAATTTAGTCTGTTGCTGCTCTTCCTCCTAATTTAATGTTTGTTTGTGTTATTTGTTACAAATTGTACCTCTCTCATGTAAATACACTCATACTTGATTGGGAAGTCTAGTGTTTAAGTTCAATTTAGGTGTGCCAGTAAACAACCCAGTTGAGCCAGCAATGTATAATACCAGGGCCCAGTCACTGGTTGGGTAGGATAAGTTAGGTTAAACATTATTGTCCCTGAAGGGAAATTTGGCTTGGGCACAGTGCGTTAGTGCTTCATAAAAAAAGATCATAAAAGGGATCACATTACATCAACAAGAATCAGAGAAGCATTGACATAGAGTACTTCACAAGAGGAAAACATAAAAACAAAAGAAAAAGGACATTGTTGATAACATGGTGCCATGGATTAGGGTGCAAGAGCTAAAGTGCTAGTGTGGTCATTGCACATTGCTCTATTGCACCAAGATTACAAGATCTGGTACATCTAAATTGAATGAAGCAATAATTAACGTTGTTAACTTCACCTGTGTCAAAAAATGTGAGGGAAATTTAGCTTTTTGTCCAAATAGTAGCCCAATTTCCTGACTGCTAAAAATATAGTTTATAGTGTTATATTATGGAATTTGTGGAATTTGAGCACAGCTTTGAAACTGTTATGAAAATGCATTTGGTGAGCACGAGGCATCAGATGTGTCCTAAAATCTACCAAACCAGACAATCTTGAGGGTTAACATGTTAAACTCTGTATCATTATTAGAGTCAGAATTCTGGTATGGTGTCAAGATAATACAGGCCTGCAGTGACTGAACTGTTTAATTCAAATTCAGTGTCTGTTTTTTTTCCTTTTTTTCAAAAAAAAAACCCCTTGTCTGTCTCTTTTTTTTTTTTTTTTTTTTCTCCCCCAGGTAGCAGTGGGTCTCTCTAGGGCAGAGCTATGGGTGCGTTCCTGGACAAGCCCAAGACAGAGAAGCACAACTCGCATGGTGAGGGCAATGGCCTGCGCTATGGGCTGAGTTCCATGCAGGGCTGGCGGGTGGAGATGGAGGATGCTCACACAGCTGTGTTGGGACTTCCTGCTCCTGGCATGACTGACTGGTCCTTTTTTGCTGTGTACGATGGTCACGCTGGCTCAAGGGTTGCCAACTACTGCTCTAAGCATCTTCTGGAGCACATAATCAGTGCTAGTTTAGGGACTAAAGTCTCACATGCAGGTTCAGACAGCTCATCCAGTGACCCTCCAGTATCGGGTCCTCCTACAGTGGAAGCTGTAAAAGGTGGGATCCGGACAGGCTTCCTGAGGATTGATGAGCACATGCGCAGCTTCTCTGACCTCCGAAATGGCATGGACCGTAGTGGCTCCACAGCAGTGGGAGTCCTCCTGTCACCTGATCATTTCTTCTTCATTAACTGTGGTGATTCTCGAGCAGTTCTATACCGCAATTCACACGTGTGCTTCTCCACACTCGACCACAAGCCTTGCAACCCACGTGAGAGAGAGCGTATCCAGAATGCCGGTGGCTCAGTGATGATTCAGAGGGTTAATGGCTCACTGGCCGTATCGAGGGCTTTGGGGGACTACGATTACAAGTGCGTGGATGGGAAGGGCCCCACAGAGCAGCTGGTCAGCCCCGAACCAGCAGTGTTTGACATGGTTCGGGCCCCAGAACAGGATCAGTTTGTGATCCTGGCCTGTGATGGCATCTGGGATGTCATGTCCAATGAGGAGCTGTGCGAGTTTGTGAAATCTAGGCTTGAGGTGTCTGATGACCTAGAGAGAGTGTGCAATGAAGTAGTGGACACCTGCCTGCACAAGGTGTGTACAAATTAGATTTTGAGCATGACCTTTGTGTGTTTTTTGCTGTAATTAGCATGGAGATTGAAATGTGTGGAATCTGGCCATAATCAAGTCCTCCAAGAAACCAGTTTTCCACAGATTACTTTCTAAAATGATTGCATCACCAAGAAGGTAATTTAAATTCCCTGCCCCATTGAGACCTACATGATGTAAAAACGTACATAAATGTATAATGTACATACAGTGCCAAAAATATATTTTTTTTTATCTGACAGCAACTAGTTGCAATAGCTTTGATGACCTAGGCACATAACTAAATGGTACCTCAAATAAGAAAGGAGGAGGAAGTGAAATTAGTTGGGATTTTTAATTTGTCTTGTTCTAAAACTGCCCAAGAGTGCAAGTTCAAGCTTTTAATTTGAAACATAATATTAAAGAGGACTATTATGCTTTTTTTTTTGGCTTTTTCCCTCTCCTTTATTGAGTTATATCTTTTTTTTGGGGCAAGTAATAGGTCTGCAAAGAGAAAAAGACCAAAGTCCAAGTGCTCAGTTATAACTTTATGGATGAAAGATACATTTGTTACAGATTAATAACTCACCACTCTTGCTCCAGTCCATGTTGCTAAGATGGTATGGGGAACATATACAGCTTGAACCAAAGCCGTGTTTACCGGCTTCTCACTGCCCTTCCCTGCTTCTGATTGGCTAGTAGTCCTTAACTAGGAACTGTGCATGTGTAATTCCCTACAAAGATCATGTAGAGGCAAGATGCATCACTCCATAGCTAAAACGAAGCTTTCAGCACACAGGGTGAAAAGAGGAGCTGCAGCAATGTGCAGTATGACAAAAAATGTGTTTTGTGAAAATGAAACCATGTAAATCTGTTCTGGTACAACCCCTAAATAAGATTTTGAACCAGAAAATTAGCATAATATGACCTCTTTAAGAATAAAATAATAAGCTTTATTTATAGAGCACTTTTCAAAATCCATGTTAGAAAGTGCTTTCACAAGGGCAGAAAATAAAACAAACTGTAAAAAAAACAAAAGGCATTGTACATAAAATATCATATTTATGTCCCAATTTTGAAATTGATCAGTCTGCCTTGTGGGCTACTTATATTTGTGCCACAGTGCAGACTGTTCCACAGCTTGTGCCTACGAAATCATCCTTATTTCTTTCAGCAATACACAATAGCTCCTTCTCTTACCTTCTCTTTCTTCATTCCTCTCTCCTCCCGTTCGTCTTAGGGGAGTCGGGATAACATGAGTGTTGTGTTAGTGTGTTTGCCCAATGCTCCCAAAGTGTCGAGGAGGCCGTGAGGAAGGACGCTGAGCTCAACAAATATCTGGAGTCTCGAGTGGAAGGTGAGAATGGAGATGAGCCAATAGTGGGATTGTTGAATATTAAAAATTTTAATTGCTCATTTTCAAAAATCTTTCTTTTATATCTTATGAAAACTGCTGGGCTGTATTCAGAGTGAATT